ATATATAAACTTTTGAACCATATGCATTTTCAGAATCCGCTTGACGAGCTGACTCGAAATATAGCAAAATTTTTCAAAAGTTCCGTCATGAGGACCAGTGCAATAGTTAGATTTCTATGAAATCTACTAAAAATACAGAGATGTTATTTAGCAATGAATTGGTTACATTAGTTTATATTGATTGAAATCACATGTTGAGTTTTTAAAAGATTGAGCTTTTAAAATACGTAATATCTTGAACCAGACCTTTTTTTTCTATATTTTTATCAATTCAAAATTAAAAATATGAATCGCGTAGAGTAAGACGTCCTTGGAGAAAGTCCTCGGTTTTGCCTCGGTTGACTATAACATGTGATCTGAGCTATTTCTTACTTTTCCTCCCTAGGGGTAAAATCTACTATTTTCGAAAATGGAATAAAAAAATTTTTCCGAATTTATGAGAGGGGCTGTTATGCCCTAGCGAGCCGTCATATACCACTCCCCTGTATAGTTCAATTATTTGTTAAATTTTTCGGGTCAATTAAATTGTTTCTAATTCATTTTACCCCAAATTTATCTCAATTCGAAAAAATAAAATTTTTTTTCGTTGTTATTTGTTTCTCAAGTGGCCCATTATGCCCCACATATCACATATTGGCCCAAAATATCATAAAAACATTATAGAGGTCATAACTTGACGGAAAGTGAAAAAAAAATTTTTACCTAATTTTTGAGGGGGGCCGTTGTGCCCCAGGTTCTCCTATATTAGCTCCAAAATATATAAATATATCAAATTTATGATAATTTGGTAAAAAAAAAAAAATTATTTTTCGACCAAATTTTGAAGGGGGCCGTTATGCCCCAGGGGGCCATCTTACCCCACCCTCCCCTAAACGTTATTCTTGAACTAATACAAAAAAGTTAGGAAAATCCAAGTGCACGCCTCATAATCTCATTTTTTAAAATAAAATTGATTTAAATAAAATATAGAAAGCAAAATAATAAAAAACAGAAAACACTGCTATGGTTTAGTGGCGCCATAACTCCAAGGTGAGGAAAAAAAATACTATAATAAAATGTATAGATAGAAATACAAAAAAATCCACAGTCATACATTAGTTTTTTATAAATAATAATTTAACGACAGTGAATTGAACGCTCATATTAACTAAGAAATTCTGTCGTGTGTTACTTTAGATAATTAAAAGAAAATTATTCCGGTACGATCATTTTTTCGACCAATGTCCCTGCCACATACACCCATTCATACACGGACGTCCAAAAAAGATTATGTTTAATGTTCCCTGATTAAAAAAAAGTATTGAAAAGTATTGAAAAAGTATGTAATTCAATACTTTTTCAATACTTTTCACACACTGTATATCTATATATACTATATACATACAATATAGATATACAGTTGCATGGTTCAATACTTTTTTTAAATCAGGGATTATTATTTATTATGTTAAACAAAAAAATTGTTATTGAAATATATTTTATGTGCCTGAAAAATTATTTGACTTGATATAAGTGTACTCTTATTAACCTGTAAGTGCGATATAAATAACAAAAAATCAATTTCAGTTTCGACAAAACTGCTTTTTTCGAAATGTCGAAAGTAGAGCACAACCTCAACGCTTCGCTTATGAGGCGTGCAATATAAAACATTCTTAAAAAAAATTGGAAATCTAAAAGATAAATGAAGAGTGATTTGGTATAAACTTTTGTGGATGTACACACATTGACATATTTTATTTTTAGGACAAGCCACCAGTTTTACTTACTGGAAACGGAGCTCCAATCGCCAATAAAACAGCAAGTCTTACAGTTGGGCCACGAGGACCTTTGCTTCTACAAGATTTTGTGTACCTGGATGAACAGACGCATTTTGATAGAGAAAGAATTCCAGAAAGAGTTGTCCACGCTAAAGGCGCAGGTATTTTAAAATTATAATTTTATGACTTTAGTATTAAATATTGTTAGTACGAATAATTATAGATAATAAAATTGCTTAAATTTAACAGGTGCATTCGGTTACTTTGAAGTTACTCATGATATTACGCAATATACGAGAGCTAAAATATTCTCAAAAATTGGTAAAAAAACTCCTATAGCCGTACGTTTTTCTACTGTAGGCGGAGAAAGTGGATCGGCCGACACAGTGAGGTATATATGAAAAAAATTTTCTTTATGTTTGGCTTAAAAAATAGATATTTATGTCATAAGGCCGTGAAGTGGCGGTTTTCTGACAGCGACGATATTTCGATATGAGCTTAAGGTTTGTGGCGGGAAAGTTCGAAACGGGCGTAATTTTAACGTCCGAGGCGTAGCCGAGGACGGAAATTTACGCTCGTTTTCGAACATTCGCGTCACAAACATTAAAACGAATATCGAAAAAAAGTCGTTGTCAAAATTGCCACTAAACGGCCGAATGACATACAATATTTTTTGTTATTATCGCTCCATAAGTTTAACTTTTGAGGGATAGGAGGCAAATAATGACCTATTTAAATTTTATGAAGTTTCACACGGGCAAAAAAAATTAATTTTATATTAATTATCTTTTTATTAATCTTGAAATCTTGCTCACGTCCAGAAAATGTAATTAACTTTTTATTAGTATTTATTTATGGCGTTGTTGTTATTTTATTAACATTAGGTCCGCTTCGTAATAAATTGCCAGCAGAGAAATAATTAGCGCCACTCAATAGTAACTAAGTTTAACATTGGCTAAAAATTATCGGTCGGTACGCTAGAATGTGACATTTTTTTTTACAATCTCCCTCAATTTCATCTGGGTGTACATGAAAAGTTCGTAAAAAAAGGAGGGGGTAAAACTTCACGGCCTAGGCCGTGAAAAAAAGACGGTACGGTAGAGTCTCTAAAAAAGAGTCCCTTTACGGACGCCACCCAGCGCTCAGAAGTTGAACTTCTGGAGCGAGTATAACAAAATATAAATTTTGTAATTATACTGTTAAAAATTTAGCCATAGTAAATGATGCATTTTATGTAAAAAAAGCATTTAACATGTTTTTCATTTTTTATTAATAGAGATCCACGTGGCTTTGCTGTGAAATTTTATACCGAGGAAGGAGTATGGGATCTTGTTGGAAACAATACTCCAATCTTTTTCGTGAAAGATCCTCTACTTTTCCCAAGTTTTATTCACACACAGAAACGAAATCCAGTAACTCACTTGAAAGATATGGATATGTTTTGGGATTTTCTTTCACTCCGACCTGAATCAACTCATCAAGTTATGATATTATTTAGTGATCGTGGTATACCCGATGGTTATCCTCATATGAATGGATACGGTTCTCATACATTTAAACTTGTTAATAATAATAATGAGTTTGTTTATTGTAAATTTCATTACAAGGTAAAAATTATTAATCTTTTTTCAATATTTTACTAAAAATACCGATCATCGTAGTTATTTAAAAGCAGAATGCATATCATCTTGTAACGATAGTAGGGGAGGAGGGGGTCAATTAAACCTAAAAAAGTTTAGTAATTTTTTACTATTCGAATTAAAACGAAATAATAATTTTTTTTTTTTGGAATGGTAGTTTATTAAGTCTACTATAGTATATATCATTATCAATACATAAATTAGTCAATAAACACCCGAGAAAAAATGTTTCTATATAATCATATATAATTGTATATAATCATATATGATTATATATGATTATATATGGAATTGTGTATGAGGTTATATATAATTATATATGACTATATATGGAGCTACATACAACCATGCAGGATTATATATAGTTCCATATACAAATATATATAAGTATATATAATTATATATAATCATACATGATTATATATGGAATTGTATATGAAGTCATATATAATCATATATAATTATATATTACTATATATGGAGCAATATACAGCTATGCAAGATTGTACATAGTCTCATATATAATTATATATGCTTATATATAATTAGCATACATAAAAATTTTTTCTTTGAAAAAAAAAATTTTTTTTTGGTTAAATTCACAAAAGGTGTAAAATGATGTTTATAATTACGTTTAAAATAATTACTGAAATACAAAAATTTGTCACATTTCCTATGAGATGTTTTGTCTGCTCTGCTATTACGTAATAGTAAAATCATTATTTATTTTATTATTTAAATAAGTGTTATATCATAATGAAATTCGGTAAGATAAATAAATTATGAATTATGACTATCCAAATATATTATAAAATCAATTTTTATATTATATTTATGATAAACTCATATGATACATTAAGTAGATCATAGAATCATTATTGTCTAAGACAGCAGCACAGCAGACAGAAACTTCAAGACACACGGAGATCACCAAAGTTAAGCAGCATTGAGTAGGATTAATAGTTGGATGGGTGACCGCTGGGATATTTTGTCGGGGATATTAACGCGCGTCACCGGACCATATTAATTACTCTATCCATAAAATTAACCCAATAATTAATGAGATGTAATAAATCTATAATTAAATATTGGTATATATAATTATATATAATTATACATAATTATATATAATTAGATATGATTATATTGGGCCATTTTTCATATATAATCATATATAACCAATATATATATAAATATATATAAATATTTTTTCTCGGGTAATTAACCCAAAATTACAAATCAATTAATTTAAAGGGAAGTTATGATAGTATGTCTTCATACGACTCATACAATACCAACGGCAACCAGGTGTACAACGTAGGCCCAAATTTGAACACCTCAACTGGTCGATTGGGTCCTAATGTTCCTGATGATCTTAAGACTGGTAACATACCCCAGAGAGCTCATGATCCTTATCGGTTTACAAGGTCCACTGCGCAGCCGACAGCTAGCCAAGAGAATCGCGGGGACTACGCTAAGTACAGGTTAGAAACAATCATTCGACTACTAAATACAAGCTTATTAATTGCTTAACCTTTAAATTTAAATTAATAGTCGCCCGGAACACAAAGTATTACCAACAACGCCCTCTAAGGGCAACAGCAACACTGGAACTTACAAGCCAGTGCCGCCACCTAAGCCCAAGAACTACCGGCCGCCTGTCCAGAACACTGTTCCGGACGAGAACAACCCCGGGAATTTGTACCAGCACGCCAAGAATTACTCACTAGCGCCCTCTCACGTTCACAATGGGGTAAGTAACCTCAAAATAATTATTATATATTTATTAACTTAATATTTAAATAAAATTTTGAATTATTGTTATATATAGTTATATATAATTATACATAATTATATATAATTAGATATGATTATATTTGGCCATTTTTCATATATAATCATATATAACCAATTTATATATAAATATATATAATTATATATAAATATTTTTTCTCGGGCAACGTGAATTTTTAAAAATTATTAATTTATCCAAACGCGTCGAATGGTTCAATTGACCCCCGATCGGGGGCAATTGAACCACTGCTTGGGGTCAATTGAAACAATAATATTTAAAACTCAAACCCGAACTTTTAATAAATAATATATTAATTGTTACTTGCTAATATTACTGTTGCTCATTTTTAATGCACAGATATTATTTTAAATAAATTACAAATCAATTTAAAAATAATTTTCATTATAAATTCAGTTTATCAAATTGTTAGGTTATTTCCCTGAGTATTTTTTATGTAGAGTCAAGATGCGCGCGCATATCCCATGCTTCTCCGTATGGTTCAATCGTCCCCGTGACTGCTGGTTCAATTGACACCATATAATTTTAAAACAATTAATTAAAATAAAATTTAAAATAAAAAATAAATAAACTAATATATTACTGTAAATAAAGTTGAGGATTATAAAGCATAAGTATATGCAATTACTGCAATTTAAACTTTATCAATTAATTCAAAAATTGAAATATTATTAAATAATTTGTCACCAGCCGAAAAAAAAGTTTACATGTCTAAAAATACGAAAATCTCAATTTTTCAAAATTTATTAATCGCGATGATTTCAAATTTTGATCATACACGCAAAAAAAAAAAATTGGGGCTGCCACATGATACATTCCTGTGGCAGCCACATGATTTTTTCATGTGGCTGCAACATGATTTTCATGTGACTGCCACATGATTTTCCTGTGGCAGCCACATGATTTTTTTCATATAGCTGCCACATGATTTTCCTGTGACAGCAACATGACTTTCATGAGGCAGGCAATAATATTTAAAACAGTAATAATAATTATCATAATAATAATAATCTATATTATTAAAAGAATAAGAAAAATTTTGTGGCCAGTGCATTTATATGATAAAATGGGTTTTTATGGTTGAGTTTGGTATCATTAGAAAGGTCTTGACCTAGGAAGGAGTTGTGCCTTTTCAAGGTTTCATATCATTCTCATCAATAGTCAATAGTGTTTATTATGATAGGAATTAAGGCTGCATTCGAAAATGCTCTATCTCTAGATACATAATCAAGAAATTACCTCGCATCTGGTGAACTATTGCCATTTTTAAAGATACAAGCTCACTTCGATATTACACTTATCGAGACCTTTCATTTGAGTACCCACATCAACTTTTCATATATTTATATATATGTATATATGAAAAATATATCAAAAATGCATGTGGGTACTCAAATGAAAGCTCTTGATGAATGTAACATCGGGATGAGCTTATATCTTAAAAAATGTGAATAATTAAAAAATTACCTTGTATCTTGTGAACTATTGCCATTTTCAAAGATACAAGCTCACTACAACATTACACTTATCGAGACCTTTCATTTAA